AAAAAAAAAAATCTTATTTGAACTCGTCGGGGTTAAAATCAGAAGAAACATCTAGAATAAATAGCTGGGTTCCTTTGGAAGTCTAGCTCAAAGAATTGACGACTAACTCACTTCAAACTTTTGCCAGTCTTACAGATGTAGTAGCTATGGATTGTGAAATGGTTGGCGTGGGCCAAGGTAACAAAAGCGCCCTTGGACGAGTTACAGTGGTATTCAGTCTTTCATCCAATCCTTTTTGAATTTGAGCACCTGTTATTCGTATCCATGTATTTGGTTTTTTAGCATACACGTGCAGAGGCAGACTCTTTATACCTCCTTCAATCAGGAGAGTGGATGGATTATTATTATTATTATTGTCTTTTTGGAGGGGTTGATAGTTAAAACTTTCATTGTCATATGTAGCTGCTTCTTGGGGCACCAAAGAGTGACGTTTAACTTTTATATATTATTAGTTGCTAACAGTACTGCCAATTAATGACAGGTAAACAAATGGGGGAATGTTATATACGATGAGTTTGTACGTCCTATAGAGCGTGTGGTTGACTTTCGGACTGAAATTAGTGGCATAAGACCCTGCGACCTGAGGAAAGGTGACCTTAGTTTTCCTTATTTCTTTTAATATGTATATTTGGATGTTTGCATGTCTTAATACAATAGTACTCAGCTACCTAACATCTTTACCTAACAAAAAGCATTCTAGGGAAGAGATTGGAATCATCTGTTTCCTTGGAGTGTTTACAAGGATGCCTGATTTCTAGCTATGTACAATTATCTCTGAGGAAAGTAATGCTAGGTACTAAGAGGGAAGTGAAAGTGTGAAATCCCACATCGGTTGGAAAGGAGAACGAAATATTCTTTATAAGGGTGTGGAAATCTCTCCCTAGCAGACGCGTTTTAAAATCTTGAGGGAAAGCCCCGTAGGGGAAGCCCAAAGAGAACAATATCTGCTAGCGGTAGGCTTGAGCTGTTTCAGAGTAGGTAGATTACTGAAAAGTAAATTTAGGGTATTGTACTTTGCCCCTTGCTTTCAACAAGATGGCCTGGGATTTGGATTTTTTAAGTTCCTTGCGCTCAATCAGTCTTTCATCCTCTGATTTCCAATTGGGATTTACATTTTTTTACGTTTACTTTAGGTTTCGTAATATCATTGACGTAATCGATTTAATTTTTCAATTTCAGCAAAGGATTTTCCAACTGTCCAGAAGAGAGTGGCAGAATTGATTAAAGGAAGGATTCTTGTTGGCCATGCCTTGCGTAATGATCTTAAGGTATCTGGATTAATGTAGTTTATGGTTTAAAGTATAAATGTGAACAGTTAAAGTAAAGTTCTTTTGACAGGCATTGCTCTTGAGTCATCCCAAGAAGGATGTGAGAGATACCTCCGAGTATCAGTTCTTCCAGAGGTAATAATTTTGCTTCCCATTGAACTTTATAACTTCAACCCGTTCGATTCTACTTCGAAAAATATCCGTTCTCAAATGTTTGGTGACACAGGGGAGGATGTAGAAGAGCCCTCCGCCATCTTGCAGCTGAGGTTCTTGGCGTTGAGATTCAAAATGGGGAGCACTGTCCTGTTAGTTTTCTGATCTTTTCACCCTTTATATTTTTAGCTCCTTTTGTTAAACTGCCAAAGAAATCTCTGGGTATTGATTAACGAACATGAGTTGATGTAGTGGTCAATTACGGTCATAAAAATGAAAAGGCTTAGAGAGAATGGATTCAAGCCATGATGACAACCTACTTAGGATTTTATACCCGACTAGTTTTCTTGACAACCAAATATAATAGGGTTTAGCCGTTATCGTGAAACTAGCCGAAGTTTTTGCGAGCTATGTTACTTGTTTTCATCCTAAGATTCATGACCACCAAAAGCAAGGACTCCCATCTCGATGCAAATTACGTGTGATGTCTGACCTGATTTTGCAAATTCTGGGAATCTGTATATCGTTCAAGCTTCCTCTATTACTGTAACGGCCCAAGCCCATCGCTAGCAGATATTGTCCTCTTTGGGCTTTCCCTTTCGGGCTTCCCCTCGAGGCTTTAAAACGCATCTTTCAAAGTTACACAGCGGAACTGGTGCTCATCTAGATACTGTCCTCTTTGGGCTTTTCCTTTCGGGCTTCCCCTAAAAGTTTTTGGGCTTCCCCATTACACGTTTGCTTGCTAGGAAAAGGTTTCCACACCCTTGTAAAGGGTGCTTCGTTCTCCTCTCCAACCAACGTAGGATATCACAATTACTATCGATGCCAACAGCTTGCAAGAAATTTTATTCAGATCGGCCTTTTAAATGTTTTACCATTCTGTCATGGGACATTTTGTTTTGAAAGATCTGTGAAAATTTGGCTGAATTTTGTTTTGTAGGTAGAAGATGCTCGTTCTGCAATGCTGCTCTATCAAAAGAAAAGTAAGGAGTGGGAAAAGAGTGTCAAAGCTGAAGTAAAGCTTAAATTGAAGCAGAAGAAACGCAAGCCAAGGAAGAAATCCAAGGATGGAGGTGGTGTTGAATGAACGATCAAACTCCTAATATCTTAATCTGATGCAGATCTTACAAAAATGTGGAACTTGCTGCTGTAGAATTGAGTAGAGATTATAGTCATTCTTTATTTTGAGTGAGACCATTGGCCTGTGTTCTTGGCCAAATTTTGATCTTCAAGCTCAAGAACTACTGGTTACTAATATTGTACGGATACGTCAACTTAATATCGTAAAGCAACTTTTAATCTCAAACACAAGCACGCGTCTCGTATTGATCTAATTTTGGTCTAGTTAGATATAGAAGTAAGCTACTATAGCGTTAAAGTGCACTAAATACCTTCTCATTTGATCTTATATCACAATTACGGGAAGTTTCTCACTTATCGTTTTAATAGAAATCATATTCTTATCTTTTTGGAAAATATTACATTATTCTATAAGATTACAACGTTTCTCCTCTCGAGTAGAGTGTACTCACTTTACTTTTTTACTCCATACATGTGATTGGATGGATGGTCTCCGTTAATCCACGTGGACTTATTAATAGAGGTTTGATAGATTTGGAGGATGGTCTCCGTTAATCCACGTGGACTTATTAATAGAGGTTTGATAGATTCGGAATTATCCGAAGATTTCGGTTACAACATAAATGCATATCTAAAAGTTAATATACGATAAACGGTAATCAACGTGTGCTTATTTCCTTGGAGATTAAGAGTTAAAATTTTTTTTTTTTTTTTGGGTCCTAGAAAAACAACCCAAAATACAAAATTTAATTTTTTTTTTCAACCATACCATAATCTTGTTTAAGAAAAAGGCAGATGGTTAAATGAACGGATAAGATATGCCTTTTCGGACATATTCTGAAGTAAATTACAAAAAAAAAAAAAAAAATTTGGGGAAGAAGAAAACCAGTTGCCAGAGTCCAATCAGAAAACTAATTGTGGAAGAGAAATGCGGAATCGATGGGGACGTTTTTATGCCATTGATTGACTAAATTCACCAACACCCACCCTCAAAATTCTCAACAACACTCTCTCTCGCGCCGATCACACCCCATTTACTGTGAGTTCCTTCTCCCATTGCGCTCGTCTCTCCGTTTTTAGCGACTGTATCTCTGCTTGTCCCCTCTTGCTGGCCTTAATCACTGATCATCTTCATCTTTGAGGTCGATTTCTTGCATACCCTTTGTTTGATTTCTTGGGGACTGTTGGAGTTTGCTGACGATTTCTCGCTAATTGGTGAACATGCTAAGTAGCTTTTGATTTTAGATATGAACCGTATGGTTTGAGTATTGGGTATTTTCCCCCTTAATTTTTGTTCCTTACTTGCATTTCTGATGGGTGTAAGAAGCAAGATTGCTTCGTTGAAAGCCATATTCATGGGATTTCTGAAACCTTTTTGTGGGTTGAATTGTTTTTGCCTTTTTAGTATGCATTGTACATGCTGAACTAAAATAGTGTTAATGTCAAGTTCTTCGTGATTTTGGCGTAGACTTTGAGCAGAAGTTGGTTTTATTGACTGAACTTTATTTTTTTAAGCACCTGGTTTACTCATATAAGTTGAGAGTTTGGTGAAACTTTAACTTTTTGTTCTTTGATTGCGCTTTTTGTTCCTTCTTTTTAATCTTCTCATGTTTGCATTGTAGTTTGTTTGTTCTTGAAATAAAAATTTCTCTTCCCAATATTTCCTGCATAGTGATCTTAGGCATTGAAGATAAGGATAGGATGATTTTATAGACATCTTGAGATGAAGAGAAATGGGGATTGTTGGATGTTGAAAAGTCAAAAAACCTGCTGATTATCTCGAATGGATCTCGAAAATGGCTAAAGGGTTTGTGGCTGGAGTAATGAAGATATTCCCAAGGTGGTGTAAATTCATAATATCCTATGGGTATGGTGGAAACGTATTCTTCTTTGTCGCTTATATTTAGAGTGAAAGGACAAATTTGGTTGAGTTCCTATGAGATCTCACATATGTTGGGGAGGAGAACGAAGCATTCTTCATAAGGGTGTGGAAACCTCTCCCTAGGAGACGTGTTTTGGAAACCTTGAGGGGAAGTCCGAAAGGGAAAGCCCAAGCGGTAGGCTTGGGCTATTACATATTGTATCAGAGCTAGACACGAGGCGGTGTAGCAGCAAGAACGCTAAGGCTCGAAAGAGATGGATTGGGGGGGGGTCTCACATTGATTGGAGAAGGGATCAAGTGCCAGCGAGGACGCTGGGTTCCGAAGGGAGGTGGATTGTGAGATCCCACATCGGTTGGGAAGGATAATGAAACATTCTTTATAAGGGTGTGGAAACTTTTACCTAGCAGACACGATTTAAAAACCTTGAGGGGAAGCCCGAAAGGAAAATTCCAAAGTAGACAATATCTATTAGCGTTGGGCTTGAGTTCCATTTTAATGCATTTTTAAGTTCTCTTTGGATGCATGCTCATGTCACCTTTTGCCACTACTTTTCTTCACAATAGCTGTGCTGATCTTTACTTCGTATTAGTGCTTGGAAGCGTTGTGCCAATGTGCAAGTTTTCCATGATGTGTAATTCATATCCATTGGCATGTCTAGAATCTGTACTTGTATTTGAACTTTATGTTGTTTGTTAATATCATTCGACAAAATACTGTTTTTTCATATACTTTTTGTTTAAGAGCAGGTATATCTGCACTTCCATGGACACAAGGGACAGAACACGTCTCCCTCGTCATACAACTCCAACAATGGATCTGGAATTAGATCAACCAAGTCTTCTGCCTGAGCTTTCTCTTTCGGGCCATGGAGCCTTCTCGCGTTGGAGTGGCCATTCGATGGTTACAGCTTCAAGAAACTCAATGAATCCTGATGTTCAACGTCTACCTGAGCATGCTAATGGTGCCATACTCTACGGAGTGAACCGATACAATGGTTCTAGGATCCAACGTGCTCAAGATATACAGGTAGCAACTACGGGCAATCCCTGTTCGTATCTGACCTCACCATATGGTACTCAGCAGTTCCCATCTCCTAGAAGTGGATTGATTGGAAACCCTGCAGATGCATATGCAAGGAATAGTCATTTCATGGAGGTCGGATTTCCGTATAAGAGAAGATTTTCTGAAGGGGTCCCTGTGAACTTTCAGGGTCCCAATAGTTTAGCAAGCTCTGAGTCTTTGAATGGACCTTTTAATCCTGTACATGGCCATGTTCCTAGCCACTTGACTAGAGGAGACTTAATGGTTCAGCCCTTTCAGCCAGCCAGCAATGCTCTCCGGTTAGACCAACCTGTAAACTTTAACTTTGACGATCGAAGTGCTTGGACCTGGAACCAAACTCCTGCAGGTTTCGCTATCCATGGTATATTTTTCTTTAGATATGCTCGCCACGCCCCCTTCCATTTAGGTTGCTGGAACTTTAAGAGTTTTTCTTTTCAAACTTCTCAGTATACTGTTGAGTTCTGCTGCCAATTTTAGTTTAAACTACATTGGTGTTTATAGCAATACACAATTTTGCAGGGGACAACGGGATTAGAGGTTCTTCAGAAAGTTTTAGCTCAGGTCTTCATAGATATAGTGAAATTTCTGGGATGAGTTGTTCTCCAAATTTTCAGCATCCTCCTTCGATGATGATCCAGCATTCGAGTCATCGAATTCCGTTACAACAGGTGCACTTGCATCCCCAAGCAGCAGCAGCAGCAGCTATACCAAGGGTTCGTTTGAGTTCTGCTTATGGTATCGTGCACCAACAGTTCATGGAGCTAGAGCCTAGGCAAACAAGTGATCTTCCATTTACGGTCGCATTGCATATAACCCTCATCAAGGTTGTATTGACCCAGAGACGATGTTTCGACGCCGTTCAACTTCTCAAATGAGAGTTCCAGAGGAGGATGTAACTGTTCTTTCTATATTCCTTCCAATGTTATATACAAGTTTCTATTATTCTGAAGTTTCTGGTTATCTTATATTCTGCATTACTTTCTTGATGTAATTTGTTGTCTTATATAGGAAGTTCCATTTCGAGGGGTTCAGGCTTCGGCTTCGAACTCCAATGATATGGGAGATTTTGCTGATGCATACAGAGATATGCGCCTGGATATCGAGCACATGTCATATGAGGTGAAGGAATTCTCATTCTCTGGCATTCGTAACCTCGCTTTTCTAAACATAACAATGCGCTTAATACCAATATACAGGAGCTTCTTGCATTAGAGGAGAGGATTGGCTATGTCAGGACTGGGTTGTCTGAGGAAACGATTACGAGTCAACTGAAGACGAGGATTTCTATGCCATCTTCGAGGGAGTCCAGGAACGAGGAACCCGTTTCATGCACCATATGCCTGGTAACTTCATTAAAATGTTGTTTGAACTATATTTACTTGCTTCATCACTATATTTGGTATCATATCAATCCTGTTAGCCTGGAGAATTGAGTTCCTTTGTGTGAACTAAACTGATAGCAATATACCGTTTAATATGTGGCCTGAATGGATTTACAGGACACCCTAAACGACGGGAAGATCGGAGTCCTCGATTGCAATCACTATTATCATGCTGATTGCTTAAAACAATGGCTGCTCGTAAAAAATGTTTGCCCCATCTGCAAATCTGAGGCATTAACGAGATGGGTGAATAGTGATTAGGGTGGTTGTGAACAGTTGAGTTAGGAGATAGCTTTAGCTGTTCATTGGAGATCTTATGATGATCGGTTTAAACTATGTTGGTCGTTTGTAAATGTCTTGCACATAAAAACTACATTAAGACTCCAACTAAATTTTATTTTGTTGGTTTCTTAAACTGTGAATGTGGATGTCGGCGGAGCCTCGAGAAGAGTAATCTTTTCTATTTAATGCCTGCCCACCCTGAAAACGGCTCAGTCGAAGGTAGGGTTCAGCAGCTAGAAGAGTACCGCACATTGCGTGATGTTCGGTGCTCCCCAAGTGGCCCTTGAAAATCCTGTTGTACAGAGTTTTTGTTGTTTTGTATTGGAAACCATACATGTGAAATCTGGACTTTCTTTGTATTCTGTTGTGATTTTTGCCGCTTTCTTTCGTTGAGTGCACGATCATGACAGGACTCAAGGAAGAAGCCTCGGCTTACTTCGTGCTGGCAGCTGCAATAAGACGGGGTGGGGGCAGGTGTTCTTTGGAATGACTGGGCATACAAGGCATGTAGGCAGTGAATCAGGCAGAAAGTGAAAGCCACAAAAAATTGGTGGAGTGCTCTTAAAACCCACAGGAGAGTGGAACTTCATGTGTAGGGGTGAAATCTAGAAATCAAC